TGTTTTTATCACAGTGTAGGCAGCTGTCAGGCATTTGGCAGCGTTTCGCATACGCGTGGGGCATTCATTAGGGGAACGCAGCATAAAATTCTGGCTAAAAGCAAAACTCGATGCCGTTGGCTGTTGGCTGCTGCCAGGCCGCCTGCTGCCTGCTGCCGGCTGCTGCCTGGTGCCTGGTGTTGTTGCCAAGAAAACAAAAGTACAAAAACAAATACACAGGCACACATAGACACACACACACACACACATGTACACACACAGCAGTGCTCAACTGGAAGCAGCCATGCAGCAATAGCCTTGAGTGATAACATCATCATCATGTATGTGTGTGAGTGCGTGTGTGTGTGTGTGTGTGTGTGTGTGTGTGAGCAGCGAAGCATACAGGCAACAAGCCACGCCAAGGAGCAAGCGATGAAACCCAGAAACTGCAGCAGCAACAGCCGCAGCAACAGTAACAAGAACAACAACAACAACACGAACAACAGCAGCTACAACAACAACAAGGAAACCTTGGCAACCAAAAAAACTAAACAAAAGCAAAAGCAAAAGCAAAAACGCCGCAGACAAGCAACACGACAATGGGACAAAAGGTGAAGCAAAACGTTGAGCCAAGATTAAATCAGGTAAGAAATTTTGTACGTTGCGAGTGGTAAAAAGTTTTGCACCTGCCGTTAGTCAAGCAGCAGCCGGTTGCTCAGCTGTTGTTGTTCTTGCTGCTCCTGTTGCTATTGTTGCTGCTGCTGCTGTTGTTGTTGTTGTCATTCAGATGATTAGTGCGCAGCCTTCAAGCTGCGACTGCGCAGTTATCTTTTCCTCTTTTTGTTGTAGTTTTACTTTTCGGTTAACTGTTGCCGGCACATCGCGTGTTGTTGTTTTTGTTTATGGCGAAAAACCTGTCCACGCACGTATTGCAGCTTGCCGCTGGGCGTGACAACGCCTCAAATTGGTCAACAAACTGTGCGCGTGTTCCACTGTGCGTCTGCCTGCCTGCCTGCATTATGCTGTGCCACATGCATATGCAAAGAATCAACAGTCTTTGGGCGTTTTACCCTCATCAGGCAACGAGCTCACTAAACAGCCGAGAACAGCTCGGAATGGAAACACCTGCGCTCAACTAATTTGCGCTCACCTTTTGCCTGGCATTGATTGTTATTTTAATTGCCTTCAACGTGCTGCTATTTGCATTTGAAATTTGAAATTTTCGGCTGCAGTTTTGGGAATTGAATAGGTTTACGAGTGCATTTAGTGTAATGAAATGTTTTATGGCAATTTGGAGTACACATTTTTGTGGAGAATATATTAGTGGCTCTTATAAGTATTAGTAAAGTTCCTTATTTTCATGGATTTAAATATGTATTAAAAATGTAGAAGAAAACTTATATTGAAGATTTAGTGAATAATTCATTTTTTATTATTTTTTTTTTATTATTTATATATTATAAAAAAAATTATACTTTTTATAAATATTGATAAATATAAAAATGTACAAAAAAATTACAAATAATTATTTAATATGATAATATGCCGAAATTCCATTTTATTTATATTTTTTTATATATATTTTTCACAAAAATTGTCGCTCACATTTTAACACAAATTTGTGCATATTAAAAAATTAAATATACATATTCCTTATATTTTTGAAAATATATATTTAATATACATATTATATTTGTAAATTAAATAGTCCTAACAATTTTTATAAATAATAATTTAAATTAAATTAATAATATATATAAATAAATAAGTAATAAAGAATTTTAATTGTTATATTTATTATAAAAATATAACTCAGTATAAAAAAAAAAAACATTAAAAAATTTGATAGAAATAAGGTTCTTAATCCAAAGAGTTGACGTTTCAGAAACATTTTTAATTAATATTTCCAGCCATAAAAGATCTTTAATATTAAAAAGTTCACTTTATTAAAAATGTCATTAAAAGAGAGGAAAGATTTCATTTAAATTCCTTTCGGCCCCGACAATAAAAATAAATGCATAAATATTTATGTAACACTTTCCTCAACCACAGTTGAGTACTGCGATGTCTACTGTGGCTATGCTATATATGTTTACTGTGCGTTGGTTTTGTATAAAAATTCTAAAACACTCAAATGTAAAAATGTAAAGCAAAAAAAATATAAATGTAACCGACAGTCTAGAAGTGGAGCCGTTAATGGCTTAAATGCAGCGACAATAAGAGAAACAGCAGCAACAGCAGGCAGCAGGCAGAAGGCAGCAGACATCAGCCAGAAGCCAGAAGCCAGAGGCCAGAAGGTTTACTTCCAGGCCATTAGCTTAATATGCTCTGACCATAACGTGAACCGCATCGGGCGCAGAGACAAGACCATAAAAACCGAAGCAATAACAATAACAATATTAACAGACAGCCAACAACCAGGCGACAATGAAATGTTACAAAGCTCACGCAGCGCTTCGTGCAATGCAAATGGTAGCAAATGTGTTGCAGCTGAGTTGAAAGGGCACAAAAAGCCACCACCAGCAGCCGGTGCAGGAGCCGGAGCAGGAGCAGCACCACTGTCACGCCCATGTGCAGGGTCGGGTCGGTTGAGAGAGCGCGCTTTGGGTATGGGGAATTGCCGGATGCGCTGTTAGCCGCACGAGTTGCCTGCATTAATGCAATGTGCAACAAGCTAGAACACCGCGCCACAAATTGACAACAGCAACAGCAGCAACAGCAACAACAGGCAGACAACAAAAATTAAAAAGTATCAAAATGGAAAAAGGGAAAAACTAAACTCAATTGCATGCAACGTTCCAAATATATGCAAACAGCAGCAATAATAATACCAACAACAACAACAACAGCAACAGCAAGTGCAACTCATGTGGCAATGGCAGTTGATTATAAGCCCATTGATGTAGCTGCAACTACCCTGCGCTCCACAACAAACGCTGGCTGCATTAAAAAATAAAAGCGAAAATATTGCAAATTGCAATACACAAGCGCAGACAAAATGGCAACAATGCGAAAAGGTGGCATCATCCCCAGGCAGGGCTGGGCAGGGGCAAAGGTGGCAACTGTTGCAACTGACCAACACGACATGGCCATCAACTCTGGCCAAAGCCCGCACTTACCTCTCCCCCTCTCCTTCCCTCTCTGTGTGCAGCGAAGCGGACCACCCGAATGGGTTGGTTTCTGGCTTCACTCCGTCTACTCCTGGCCCGCTCTCCGCTCAGCCTCTGCCCACCACGCTGCCCCTCTGCGACTCCTTGGTGGTTTATAGGTGCGCGCTGCACCCCGTCACATGCCAGCTGAATGCGCCATTTTTGGCATATTCCATTCGGGCCCAGCACAAATGCTGAAAATTCAACGCCCAACGCTCGGACCGGGCCAACAATGCCGCCAAATAAACTTCATTCAGCTTTCAGTTTTTGTTTTACCTTTTGTTCGCTTAGCTGTTTTAGCTTTTAGTTGTGGGCCAAATGACTTTCTGTTCTATTTTTCTCTCTTTTTTTTTTGTAATTTTTTGTGCTTTCCCTAAAGTTGCAACACTCAAAAATATTCAACAATAGACGAGGAAATTTGCAGTGTTTCTTTTTTTTTTTTTTTATATATAAAGGAAGATTGCAGCTGATGATATAATGCTGGACATTTTGAGTTGTAGTAAAGCCAAAAGAGCAGAGCTTTAAAACTAAGCGGGTTTAGCTTGATCTTATGAATGTATTTTATGTAGCTATTAATCATAATCTTCAGATAGACCTAAAGAGAGCGATAGACCAAGCAGCATAGCATAGACATCTGATAAAAATGCAACACTAATTGGGTGCATTGTATGTCCTTAATATTATGAGCAAATATTTATTAATTGTACTAAAAGAACTTTCTGGAGTTAACTGAAGTAACTAAATATATTTAAGCTAAAATAAAATACAAAAATAATCCGCATTCCCTCACAAATTATTTACCCTCAATCCAGAAAATTCTAAAGCAAATCATATTACGAACTCAGCGTATATAAAAGACCCTCATAAATGATCTTCAATCAGTAAATAAATATTTTAAATGTCCTCACCTTTTTTTTTTGAAATAGCTTTTAAAAAGTGTTAAATATAAAGCCAATAAAAAAAAAAATAAAAAGCTGGCAAAAACTCACCTGGTTGAGCCGTTGAAGGTCTGACAGCTGCTGTTTGCTGTTCGAATGTTGATTCACCGCAGGCGCGCCATGTGCCACAAGGATATGCACAAGGATAACACAAACACACTCACTTAAGCACACACAGGTAAAGCTGCAAAAAAGAAAGCAAGACCACCCAAGTACAGTTAGCTAAGAGCTGAGCTTAAGTAAATGTATTAAATAGAATTGCTTAGGATAATCACAATTATTATCAATTGACGATAGTTTAGCAACAGACTCCCAGTTGCCATGGCAGCCTTAAAGAGAGCAGGAGTCAGCGCGCTCTTAAATTTGCCTTGAGCGCGCTCTCTCACTCCCACACACACACGCACATTGGCTCTCTTAGCATGGACAACCTGTTCTTTGGCCTGCTTGTTGCATGCTCTTCAGCCTCGCACTATGCGCGCACGCTCTCTTTGTTGCTGAGCGTCGACGTCGACGTCGACGTCGTCGTCCACCGGCTGGCGGGCTATAAAAGCGCAGCAGCTGCTGCGCGCCGCTTTAGTCGAACGACAAGCGTCGCGTCAACTGCATCTCGTGCACAGGCGAGCAGCAGCCAATCTCAAGTGAAAGTTTGACAATATTTTCCACGTGAGACGAATTCGAAGTGTGCGTGTGTCCGTTAACCGTGACTCGTGTCTGTGTGTGCGTGCGTGTGCGTGATTCACTTTAAGCCGCTTAGAGCGAGCGGCAGCACGAGCTCTACAAAAACGTGCACTCAGCAAACATAAAAAGGAGTCGCGCATAATTCGAATATTCTAAAAGGTGGTCATGAAACGTGCTCAACATTTGCATAAATATCAAATGCCACCAAAATACTAAAAAATCATCAAAGCAAGAAAACAAAAAGTAACTGTGCTTGAATTTAAAGTAAGCAACAACAACAACAACAACAAACTGCCACGAAAAATGTTGCGTTTAAGAGCGCTCATCGTGATCGTTGCGTTGGTTGTGGCAGGCGCGCGTGGCGCCACCACCAGCAGCGGCAACATCCTCGTCAGCGACGAGAACAACATGTTGCGCGATGCCCAAACAGCCGGCAGCACGGCTCCAATTGCAACGGCAACGGCAACGGCAGCGGCGCCCGCCTCATCCAGCGTGGAGCTGCTGCGCTTTGTGAACGAGGACGAGGACAACAACGAATTGGAGCTGCTGTCCGGTGGCAAGGATGAGCAGGATGCGGATGCGGATGCCACCGAGAAGAATCTGAAACTGGGCGATCAGGTGCGACTGCTAACGAAGCAATTGAATGCGCTGATGACGCGGCGGCGCGAGGATTACGAATTGCTCGAACATAATTTACGCAAATCCCTGAGGCTCACCACGGACGCGGCCAGCGTCGATGCGGATATGCGCAGCGAATTGGACCAATTGAGGTGAGCTGAACTAACACACACACACACACACACACTAACTTAATTAGATGCAGTTGCCTGCTCGAATCGTCTATGCCACTGGCCCACAATTCATTTACAACTTGCAACTTGCAACTTGCGACTTGCAACAAGCAACTTTTGCAGCTCTGCCTTAACTTTAGTCGGAAGTTGTTGAACAAAAGTTTTTGGTTCTCTCTTTTTTACGAGCTGCTCGTAATGCTGTCTGCCAGCCAGACATCCAACTCATTAATTTCGTGGGCGTGGCTGTCACTAATTTTTTACAGCCACACAGAGACAGAGCGCGTGAGAGATGTGAGCGTTTTATTTATTTAATTTTTTATTTGTATTTTTTGTTTTTGCGCACGCCTGAAGCCAATTTGGCAGCGCCTCAAAGTAGGCGACACTTTTGCGCCTCGCTGACTTTTCGCTTGTTTTCATTTATTTGGGATACTCTATGCTGAGGGTATTGTGGTTTTGTTTGGGCAATTTGTTGAAGGAATTGTTTATTTGAGATGTAAATTTGTTTTTTTTTTTTAAATATATATATAAAAATAAATATTATTATACATATATAAAAAGGGGACAAGAAAAAGATTTAAATTCTTATTTATTAACGAAATATATATTATTATGCTACAGCATACTCAAAGCGCATATAATCAGTTATTAATATTATGTAACATGTTTTATTGTAACATTTATTTAGTAGAAATAAATGTAAAATAATTACATTTTTTGTAAAAATTTCTTTATTTTCATTTCAGTTTTACTCTCATAAAATAAAAATAATAAAATTTATAAATTAAATAAAAATATGTATATAATAATAAATATTTTATTTATTTTTATTTAATATGTATACAACAATACATATTTTTATTTAATTTATACATTTTATAAATTTGTAAAAAATATATATATATTTATATATCTTCTAAAAGATCTTACTGAATGTAGCTCTATATAAATATAAAATATAATAAATATATAACTATTTATATAAATCACTTGCTTTAGATCAAAAATTGAATGCCTTTTACATAATAAATTAGTTTCAATATTTATAGAAATAAAATTGCAATTTACAAATAAAATAAAAAAGAAGAATTCCTCAAACCCAAACGAGCAGACATTTAAAAATCTCTTATCTCTTATATAGAATATAACCAAAACGTCTTCCATCACACAGCTGCCAATCAATCAATCAAACCATTACGATTTCTTATTTATATCAATATCGTTTTAGCTTGCAAGTGAAGGACATTGAAACTTCGTTTCAGTCTTCAGGCCAAATGCTTGTCTTTTATTTGTGCCTCGGCATTCGCTCTGTTTGTATTTGCTGTTGTTGTTGTTGTTGGCACAAACGCAACTTAATTTAAACAAATAAGAAAATCGTTCCGCAAAAAGAAGAACTGAGTAAGCAAGCCAAGCCAAGAAATCCAGTTCCCTAAGCAGCTTAGCATTTGATAAGAGCCCGACACTCAGGCAGCACGTTGATGAATTCTGATTTCTGATTTCTGGCCTGGGCCAAGCCCCCGTCAAAGTTTCTTTTTCACTTTTGTGATTTGTGTTTGTTGTCTTTGCCGACTTGGCTGACTAATAATGATTGTCTCATCGACACACACACGCATACGCACACACTCGCACACATATCACTGTTGATCTAGAGCAAAGGACAACAAAAATGGCGCTCACTTAATTTACTGTACAAATAGCTTTGGCTAGTTTTGCTGTTGTTGTTGCTGTTTGCTCATGTCGTGAACGTCGTAAACTTTGTCACTGACACCGTAAATAATTCAACACACGCGTGTGCCACACACACACACACACACGCACATACATAAGTAGCAGGCAAGTTTGCCAGGGCCAGTCAAACGTCATGTCAACTGTGGTTTATGTGTCACAGCCCCATGGTACCACACCCCCACCACGCCCCCACTCACTGCTTGGGTGATCCATTAAACTGGTGGCCATTTGCCTCCACTGATTTGGTCTAAATTTGTTGGCGCATTCAGCGCATTTCCCATTGCAGCTTCCATTTGATAATTAAAATGTGCGCACAACACACACACACACTAACACACAACATGCACACACACGCATGGAGTTTTCTTCAGCGTTAGGCATGTTGTTTTCCTGCACATTTTCAATTTGCTTCATGTCATTGACAGCATATCCAATTTTTACTTGAATGACATGCGCTGCGTTCACTTTTTCATATAAAAATTCTTTTATTTTGCTTTATTTTTTTATTTTCTATGTTGTTTACAAAAGACGCGCGCACTCGCAGAAAAAAAAAAGTGAACGCGTTCTGCTGCAGCCATGCGAGAAATTGTAGTTGCTTTTGTGTAGAAAACACAATAGTCTGCTCTTCTTCTTTTTTCCCCATTTTTTTAATTTTTAACAAAATTTTGTTCTTTGCTTTTTGTTGTATTTTTGCAATTTTAGCTATACACTCTCTAAAATGTTTAAATAAATTGAGCTACCTCATGTAAGCGAGCCATTGAAGCTGCGATTGAATGCATTCGTGTTGTTCAAATGCGATCAAAATTAAAATATATATACATGCACATATAAATTTATTAGAGATTTTCATTTTTACTATATGAGTAAATAGAAGGATTTTGATTGAAAGCAACTGAAGCATAAATTGCATTCGGTTGGGTTAACTGAGCTTGGATTGTGGATATGTGGATGAATGTATATTTGTTAATTTACTATCTACACAAAGAGGGAGTCTGAAGAAACATTAAAGGGTTTAAAGAAATATTTAATGTTGGGAAACATAATTTGAAGTAAAGCAGTAGAATATTTATTTAATTGTAAATTACAAGCAAAAAATTTTAAAAAAATTCAATTTTCTCTTTTTATTTATTTATTTAAATTACATATTTGTTTTTATATTTTTTTTTATTTAATATTGAATTTTTAAATAATGTTCCTTTTATTATTTATTTTTTTATTGATGTTTTTTTTTTTTAAATTGATAAATAACATTTTGAAAAATTTTAAATTGTGAATATTTATTAGAATTCAAATATATAAAAAAAATTATATATATTTTTTATCAAATATTTTAGAAAATATTGCATTCGGATATTTATGCAATTTTTATGTTTTGAAAATTATATAATCAACTCCAATGCAGAAGCAAAAATATAATAAAAAAAAATCAAATTAAATCCTTTATATTTTCACAACTTTCTGTGAAATTCTCAAACAAAACCTCAACTAAATTTCAGCCACATAGCAAACTACGTTTTCTATGGTTTCACTGAACAGATAAATGCCTCGAGCCATTACGAACTTTTATACATTTCATTCAGCATATTTTACAATCAAATTTTTGCATTCAAGTCCAAGCCCTTCACGTAAATGAGCCAATTACTGCCAACAGTTTAAGCAAGAATTTTCCACATTTTTAATCAAATACGCGCACTTAAAAAATTAAATGAAAAAAAGGGACGAAGGAACTAACCAGCATTTTGCGCGCTCAACTCGGTTGTAACTGAGCGTGTAGTTAAAAGCCAGAAAAACTTCTCAAGTCGTCAAATTTACAGCGCACACACACACGCACAACTGCAGGCGTGCATAAGTCAGGCGCACGCAAATTGAAATATTACGTATACGCAACATTGCCAACCAAAATGCTGTAGCATGAAGAAGCAAAAGTTTTTCATGAAAATTTCATGTAGCTTTGCTCTTTTGACAGTGAAAAATAAAACAGCAGCAGCAACAGCAGCCGGAGCAGCTGTAGTCGGGCGGCAAAAAAAAAAAAAAAAACAAAAGTACAGAAAACTTTTCTATGTGATAGAGTGGGAAGCAGCAGGACTTGAAAGACACCTCGCTACACACATACACACACACACACATACACACACTTGGCGTGCGCCTTCAGCTCTTCCGACTGACTACTTTAATTGTCTGAAATGCCACAAAAATGCGCTCAAGTTTTGAGGCTGGCGCCTGCCAGCTGCCACAAGTGCTACAACATTTTCATTTTCACATTTTCCCCAACTTGTTTCGCTTGTTGTTGCTATTGTTTTTTGACGCTAAGCAAAATTTATTTTTGCCACACTTGAACAATATTTGCAATTGTTGTTGCTTGTTTTTTCGGTTTTTGCGGTGGAAAAGTTCTTGATTTTTTTGTTGTTTTACATTGTTGAATTTGATTTGAGTTTGGTATTCGTTTTGGCAGCTTTGCACTATGCACTGCTGCGGCGCCTAATTGAAAAACTGCATGAAAATGACGTTGCTTTTCCATGTAAGCCTCACGCCCAAATCCCATTAACACGCGCGGGCGCTCCATCGCGCTGCTTTTTGGCCACACAGGCAATTAAGCCGTCCGCTTGCCTGAAAATGTCAATTTAAATTAGATTCTGTCGGCGTCGCAGAGGCGGGGGCGCTGCACGTTGCAAAGTCAATTAAAATGTTACGCATACGCGCCGTGTGCTGCATATTCATTTGCCAGCTGACCGGCTAATTAAGCAAACCGAAGTACAAAATACGTTTCAAATATAATCTATGCTAATCTCACGTTCTCTTCTTCTTCTTCTTCTTGCCACTTTCTGATTTAACAGACGCGAAATGCAAACGCTGCGCGCCACCCACAGCGGCAACAAAGAACGCCTCACCGTCGAGTGGCTGCAGCAGTCCATATCGGAGATACGCAAACAGCTGGTGGAGCTGCAGCGCACCGCCGGCAGCGTGGCCAAGGATGTGCGCCATGGCGGCGCCGCCTACGAGGACCTGGCGACCATACGCAACGACTATCAGCAGCTGAAGCTGGAGCTGGCCGCACAGCGTGAGCGCCAACAGCAAACGGAGGTGATTGTTCAAGAGCTGCGCGAGGAGCTCCTGCAGCAGGAGCAGGAATACAAACATGACCTGAATAGGCAGCAGCAGCAGCAACAGCAACAGCAAAGGCAGCTAAATGCCAATGCAATTGCCAAGGAACAGCAGACGGAGCAGTCGGCCAGCATTGAGGAGGATAGCAGCAGTCAGGAAAGCAGCCAGGAGGTGAGTAAACACACACACACATACGCAGCGCAGTCCGTGCTCAACTTTATGCTAATGATCAGATAAGCACGCAGCACACACACGCATACACGCGCACACATACATCCACACACACTCAGGTGTGTGCTTCAAGTTTTATGGCTTTGAAATTTTTGCCTTTGTTGCTTCTGCTGCTGTTTTAAGTGCGCTCATAAAGAGGCCCGTCGGCCACCCTACACGTCCCCACCCCTCTCCCTATCTCTCTCTCTCTCTGTCCTCCTATTGCCATTATCTGCCCATTTTATGCCTCATTTTATACCTGACTGCCGTGGCCATTGTTTTGGGGTAGCTCTCGTTTGCCAGCTGAGACACGATGTGCTAACGAGCCGAGTGCCCAAGCCGACTCGAGTACATTGCCTGCCCTGCCTCAAACTTCCTCCCCTCCCTCTCATACTCTCTCACACTCTTTGTGTGTCCTTACTTTTTAATGGCGCCTCATATGCTGCTTAAATTACTCATACGCACCGCAGGACGTCAACATATTTAATATTTAATGCTAACTCCTCGCCCCGGGCAGCCACTTAGACCCACACGCAGACACACTCACAGACACACACACACACAACTCTTCTTTCAACTGCTGTCTGTTCCTGTCTCCATGCCTAACTGAATCATTAACATTAAGGTCAGGCAAATCGCAGACAGCGCCGACGGAACAACAGCATGCTAACAACTTTTAATTATAATTAAAGTCAATAAAAATGCGCCTGGCAAAAGTGAAAGTTAAATGTAATCTTCAAGGGCAGCCACCTCTATCAGATACCCTGTATAGCATAATGCAATAGTTAGCATAATTAAATTGTTGAAATATGCCAACTAAACATGCAATGCCAACTCACAAGAGAGCAGCAAAGGGCCAATAGAAAAAGAGAGTGACAGACAGAGAGAGAGAGATAGAGAGAGAGAGAGAGAGAGAGAGAGAGGAACTAAAAAAGAGAATATTTATGGTATATTATTATTAAATATATACAATATTCTTATATATTGAAAGCTCTCCACATAAATTTATTAATTTGCATTTTACATGGTAAGCAGTGCTATTAATTTTCAAGCAATTTATCAACACTACATCCATGTTAAGCTTCTGAGTGGCTTACAATACAATTGCATTTACATGGCTGCAAACATTTCTTAAATTCTTAAATTCATTTAATTGAGTAAAAATTTGTAATTGTGTTATAAAATATATTTTAAAAGCCGCAGAAGAAGAAAATTCAGTTAATTGCCATTTAAGCTACTTATGTAAATGAGTATAACAGTTTGTATAAAAATTCGTATAACAGTTAAGGTAGCAGTTTAGTTAACAGTTGCTATTGATATAACAATTTAAATGGCAATTATTAAAGCAGATTGTAAAAGAGTTTATAGGAGACTTTAAATATTATTTCTACAGCAAATTCTTAACTCTAGCTTCAGCTTCAGCTTCAGCCTCAGCTTCAGATTCAGCTTCAGCTTCAGCTGTAGCTCCAACTCCAACTGTAGCTCTAGCTCTAGCTTCAGCTCTAGCTTCAAGTGTTGTCTTCAACTTTAGCTCTGCCTCCAGCTTCGGCTACATCTTTACTACCAGCACTAACTCTAGCTCCAGCTCTAGCTCTCACCAATTTGACTTTGCTTCAGTTATTGAAGCTAGCAGTGCTTTATTTTCGATTAACTAAAAGGCATATCTGTTGACCCAGCATCCCAATTTTGTTGTTGCCTCTCAAGTGAACTCCTTTCGGTTCTGCTGCGCAAACAAACTAACGACAGATATTTGAGAGCACAGCCAACAGGTAAAGCCGCAAAATGTGTTTCTCAACTGAGGGCACTGCACAGAAAAACATGAATAAAAAAAAAATGCACAAAAAAATACATCAAAAAACTTAAATTGGAACGTTGTGCGCTTCATTAAAAGGATTATGCGACGCCCATATGCATGCGGTTGCCTCACAAAATATGTCAGCAAAATGACCCAAAAAAAACACAAAAAATAAGAGGAAGAGAAGTAAACCGAAAACCGAAAACTGGTTTACAGACACCTGTTTACCGAATGTGCCCCCCGCCTTCCGCCTGCAGCCTCCAGCCTTATGCTTCATGCTGCCCTTTGTCGCTTTGAAGTTTCTTCTGATATTTAGCAGAGAAATTTGCTGGACTATGGCTATACCCTGCGCTGCTTGAGCAGCTGATTGAAAAGCGAACACAAAGCAATTACATATAGCCACTCAGCCAATACAAATTTTGACCACAAATTGCAAAAAAAAAAAAGAATTAACAAAAAAAATAAAGGGCAAACAAAACCAATAAAAGCAATGAAAACGATAAAACGTGCAGTCAGGCGTTGTAAGCGGCTTTCACAAGAGACGCACTCGAATCAGTTGGAGTGCAGGACGATAACTCACACACACATGCACACACACGCACACACATTAATGTTAAAGGGCACGCCTGGTACTTTTCGTATATACATATGTCTATAGAATGAAATTGCTGAAAATTGCAAACAAAAAGCAGGAAATCACCTTTTAATCGCCCTCAGCATTTTTGTGGCAAAGCGAACGAAAGGTGAGAGGGTGCGAGGGGCAGATTGTGCAGAAAAATGTTGGTATATAACGCCAGCTGCGCTGTCAGAGACCAGCCTGACGGCTGCTGTCGCTTTTGTCTTGCCAAAACATTTTGGCCCCTACACAGGTCCCCACTTTTTATTTTTTTTTGTTCGTTGTTGGCCAACAAGAGAGCAGATGCTCTTGAGTGCCTTGATAATCAGTTAGTGTGTGAGTGCCTGTGTGTGTGTGTCTGTGTGTGATTGTATGCGTTTATGATGCGCGCGATGCTTCAGCACAATTTGATCCTTTTCATTATTTTTAGGTTTTCGCTGTTGTTTTGTTGTTGTTTTATGCCACATTTCCCACCAAAAAAAACCCAAAACAAAAAAGAAGCGCTTCACTCTCTGACAGCAGGGACCAAACAGCAGTTAGCCAAAAACCTGTCTTTTCACCTTGCTAGCTAAAAAATTATATATATATATATATATATATATATATATAACAAAATGGCAAAAAGCAATTTACAAAAAATAAAAATAAATTATTTTGAGAGCGCTGCAAGCCAGAAATTAGGTTAAGTTAGAACAAAGCGCATGGCACAACAATCAAAATTGTGCAGGTGGCCGCAGAAAATAAAAAGTGTACAACAACAAAAATTACATAAAAAAATTTGAAAACATGTTCTTGCTCCCTCTCCGTGTGTGATTAAATTAAATCAACTGTATCTAATTTGATTAAAATTTGAAAAGCAAAACCAAGTACACAGAAAAGCGCGCGCAATTTGTGCAAAAATGTTAAGCCAAAACCCCAAGGGGAATGCCTTTGAAGGAATTAAGCTAACAGAGGCAAAGCACACTAATTTCATTTCAGTGTTAGTTAACGTTTTGCAGACATGTGTATAAGCTTGTATTCCCAAAAGTTGTTTTGCTTTACATTGCTGCAACAACAAAAATAGTACGGAAAACATGTTCCTAAATGGTTCATAGTTAGGCTAGTTCGCAGTTCGTCAAAAGAACTATTAAATGGTTCATTACTGGCTCAAAGCATTGTTAACTAACTGAGCTTTTTCGCGCTTTATTTTTTATGGAAAATATTTCTAGGTTATTTTATAACAGTTTTTATGTTAAAATATGCCAGCCAATTTTTGTCAGACTAAAAAAAATATTTAGAAAATGTATTGTAAAAAGTTCATAGCTGGTTCGCAGCTAATTCACTAGCTGAAAAAACTCTAATCGAATTCCTGTATTGGCTAGCTTTTGAAGACTATAAAAAACAGCTTCTATATTTTTCATAAAAATGTTTTGTTAGAGAAAATGTCTTGTTAGCGATAGCTGTAATATAAAATAAAAATATATAAAAAAAACTCACATAGTTTAAAACTAGTTCACAGCTAGCTCACATATTTAAAAACAAAGTCTCTGAATTAAAGTTCAATTTGTGAACAGCCTTACAACTATATATAGATTAAAAAATGTTCTTATCTCAACATTTCCTTAAACCTAAATCTAAGCCTCTATCTTATATTATGAATAGCCCTTTGAAAGCTGCTTCACAAATTCCATTCAAGTCCAAAAATAAATGGCAGCTCCACATTTATTTAAATTGAACCCAAGCCATAATAGATAAAGGACAAGTTGCCATAGATAATGAAGACAACCACAAGTCGAAGTTCCTTCTGTCTCCCTCTGTCTATCTCTATATAAAACTATATCTCTCTCTCTCTCTCTCTGTCTATCTAGTTGCCAAACTGGCTCGTTCAATTGATAAAAATTTCTATCGAGACAAGTTTACAGTGGGGACAATATTTATTTGGGTCTGGCCGGGGTTATGGCAATTGCCAATCATTCTGACAGCTAACACGGGCAGACAGTAAAAGCCTCTCTCCGGATTGTATATACATATATATACATATATATTTATTTGATACTGTTGGCACTTAGTTGAATTGGCTGGGCTACTAATTGAACTGGAATTGATGGCAAGACCTTTTGGCCAGAGCCCTGAAATGTGAAGACGCAGCTGCCAATGACAAGTGACTCTCGACCCAAAAATGAAAAAAGAAACGATGTTCTAATTGCGATGTGTGCAGATTTATAACAAAGCATATTGCTTGTAACATACAGCTAGACACCAGCAAGAGTCACACACGCACAAGGACTCCAGATTAAGCTAAAGTCTCTGATATAACAAATCGCATGATGGAAGCTGTCACTAGCAACAGTTGAACGCAAATATTTATCATTGGTTATTGATGCGACTGTTGCCAGCAGCAGGACAGCTGAACAGCCCAATACAAAACGCAAAGCAGCAGCAGCAGCAGCAGCAATATACGAGTAAACATATATCGCATACACATATGAGAAACTTGCTGTTAAATTAGCCAGGCAAACAAATGCGGCACAGACACAAAAGCAGGCACAGCAGCCGCAGGGGCTAGAGAGA